TGCAGGGAAATGAGACTGGACACATGAGGGGTTTATGGAAATGATCCAGGCAATAAACAAGAAGGGCTGGGGTGGATAGGAACATAACCTGATATCCTGACTTGTTAGAGGATCTCTTTGGAATTTTTAACTTAATGAATAATAAGTAAAAATAATAATAATAATAATAAAAAGGAACTGAACACAAAACTACTAGATTTCTAACTCCTAAACCATTAAATGGGTCAAAAGCAATGAATTTAAAGTTACAGTGTTCAAATTAACCTGCTTCTGCCTTATGTTAGAAATTCTATATCCAGAAAGGAAAAAAAGGGAGGAAATGTTATGGTCAGCCCCAAATGATAGTCAATTATAACTATTTTCCTCACAGTTGACATTAAACAATCATCACCCATGTTTAGTGGTAAATACTAGTGTTTAATGTAGGCAAAAGAACTAAAATTGGTGAGATAATACGATTTTAATTCCAGAAAAAAGGAATATTAAATAACTCTGCACCCAGAAGAGCTGGACAAGGTTTTAAAGATATTCACATAAACACACAATGACATAGACTCTTTATATTTACTGATACTCCAAAAATAGAAAAATGTTGAAAAGAATGAAGTATGGTAAAAAAGTACATGAACAAGGAAACAACTGAGGCATGACCAAAATCTCATTTCCCATTGTAGAAAATTACTTAGGCTACTCTCTGAGCCTGGTAGAGAAAGACACAAGAAGTGTGAATAAACTGCTGCTTATCTTCAATACTCCAAACCTTAAAAGTGACAAAAGCAGCTGTAATCAGCCCAATGTGAAATAAAAAAGACATGTTGACTTACATATTCTATTAACATTCAATAAAAATATTAACTCGTGATATCTTACAGTGGAAAATATTGGGAGAGTACACTCCATGTCAGGTACTCTCAGTTGAATATAACTGTTTAATATCTGATAGTTGGAATAGTCCAGATAGTTTTAAGGTGATAATTGAAGGTTATTGAACATGGGTCACGAAAAATTAATAAAGTTCTTTAGATAAAATTGCTTTGTAAATTGTATATTATCCCTGAGGAAGAGTCAGTATGGAAGGAGGGTTATTCTAGGGAGGCTCATTCTAGAGGGAGGGGGGAACAAGAGTGAGGAGCAATTGTTTCATTCCCCTCCCCTGCCCTCCAGCATTCCTGGGATCTTCCTTTTGAACCCTGAAAATAGCCATTATACACTTGATGAACCTGAGAGTGCTGTTCCCTTCAGAGCAGAGTTCAGTGACCTCTTGGGATAGTTCTACTGTCATTTTCAGGTAGCCACATCCCCATGCCAACTTCAGTTTCCTTGGTAATAATTTTGGGACCACTGGTGGGAAGTGAAGATTCACCCTGAGACCCTAAAATGGGTCACAGCACTTCATTAATTAAATAATTTCTAAGGTCACTCTAAGCCCATGATTCATGCCCTATTCCCTTTCTCATCTCAAATTAGGCCCGGGCGCCTTGTTCAAAATAACTTCAGAGTGATTCAACAGTGAGATTACATGAAAACTTTAAGTGGAGGTTTTAACTGGGGACATGGTATCCTCAAGGCTGATACCTAGGAAACTTGCCTCCAAGAGAAGCTTTCTCGCTTATGTATAATTGTACAATCCAAAGCCAACTTGAGAGCATATTATGGGGAACATCTCAAACTTATGGGCTAGACATCATAATCCAAGCTTGATTCCTTCCGTTTCCTCCTTATCAAGCAGAGTAGGGTTTGGGATTAGTTTATCTGAAGCTACCTACCTTGAATTGCCTGCTTCAAGTTAGACCCTCACAGGAAGTTGAGTCCTTGCAGTATAAAAGTGGTGATTCTTGTACTCTACAACAGTGACTAAAAGTCCTCTGTATAGAAAAATTCTCTTTTCTGTTTTATTGAAAAGTTTTCTACTGAGGCCTCAGCCCACAATAAGGTCTTCATCTGGCACCAAGACCAGCATCTATGCAATCCAAAATCAAGACAGGCACAGTGGCTCATGTCTGTAATCCCAGCATTTTGGAAGACTAAGACAGGAGGATAACTTGAACCCAGGAGTTCGAGTTCATTGTGAGCAACATAGCGAGAATTCGTCTCTACAAAAAAAGAAGAATCAAGAAATTAGCCACGAGTGGTAGCATGTAGTCTCAGTTACTCCCGAGGGTGAGGGAGGAGAGACACTTGAGCTCAGGAGGTGGAGGCTGTGGTGAGCCATGATCGTGCCACTGCACTCCAGAATGGGTGACAGAGTGAGACCTTGACTCAAAAAATGAAATAAAATAAAAATAAAATAAATCAAGCCACAGCAGCCTAGACCTTCAAACACTGACCACTCAGTGAGACTTTCTCACAACTCTTTTCTTTGCTGAGGCCATAATTTGCTTACAGGCTACGAGCAGCTGGTGTCAGCTGAGGGCCCGTGTGTGGCTGGCATTTGGTTGGAGCACCCTGAATAGCTTAAGACCCCAAGGCCTGAGACTTTGCTGATGCCACACAGGCTTTGCTGAGGTCACCAACCCCTACTTTTGCAGCAGCCCTTGCACAATACACCGAATAGCTGGTACATCTAGCAAGGCCTCTATGAAAACAGACAGCTATTCATTTTTAGACAGAGCCACCATAAACTGCAATGATTCATCAAGATAAAAATACCATGATGCCATGTTATTGGTGCCTAAGACTTTCAGCAATATGCCCAAGTCATCAGTTAAATAGATAACGACACAATTTGTGAACAACCTTTTTTAAAAAATCTACAAAGATATCAATATTTTTCATCAACAGTTCACCTCATGAGTTTTGAACCTTTGAGCCTGAGTAAAAAAAAAAAAATTGACCCACACACAAAGATTCAAGCCCCTGCACACAAACTCCCCAGTTGTGTTGCATTTCTTTTCTTTCTTTCTTTTTTTTAAATTAAGTCAGGGTCTCACTCTGTTGCCTAGGCTGGAGTGTGCAGTGGCATAAGCACAGCTCACTGTAATCTTGTTCTCCTGGGATCAGGAGATCCTCCCGCCTCAGCCTCCCAAGTTGTTAGGACTACTGGTGCATGTCACCATGCTAAGCTTATTTTTTAAAATTATTTTGTGGCTCAAACTGGTCTCAAACTCCTAGGCTTAAGCAGTTTTCTTACCTCAGCCTTCCACAGTGCTGAGATTACGTGTGTGAGCTACCACACCCAGCCTGCATTTCTAGTTCTTGTCTATCTGGCCCTGTGTACCAGTTTCTAACATTCTTCTGAATGTAATTTCTCTACTCAAATTGAAGAACACTGCCACAGGGCAGTGTCACCAGAGGTCCCAAAGCACAGCAGAATACAATATATGCTCACCAGAGATCCCAAAGCACAGCAGAATACAATATAGGCTCTCTGGAGGCAGCCCAGCTCCTAAAAGGAAGGGGTGAGCTGAGCTACACACGCCCAGCTTCTCTTCCAAACTTGGCCAAAAAACTAGGAGCGTGACAAGGAAGAACTTCCCTACACATAAAGGCAAATTAGGAATTAGTTTGCCCTTTTCTCTCTTAATTTTTATTATATGCCAGTAAAACTTTATCATTTTGAATTTGTAGATAATTTGGTTGAAAAACATCTTATTTGTGAAATAATTTAAAGGAAAATATGTTATTTTAAGCTCATTAATACTGAAAATATAATTTTATAAATTAGGGAATTTTTAAAATAAGTAAATCAAGCTACCAATTATGTATACAGATTGGTGTTTATTTAAAAACCCATTTCCCACCTCCCCCCAATGTATTCTCCATGGACAAATAAATAATGACTTACAAAGCATTTGGTTAATTGTTTAAAGTATAAAATTCACAACTTATAAATTGCCTGCACTGATGTAGATGACTTTTCATCATATACTTAAAAAGTAGACCTACCAACTCTGTAGAGGGCTAGCGAGCTAACCTAAGTCCTTGTACCACGTAATAATGTGACAGAGACCTAAATCAAACTGTAGTCCAGTTAGTTGTCCTTGAGGGGCTCCTGACATTTGTTCTTGTGATGACCCAGGCCAGGTGCTTCACCTCTGTGACCCTCTTCAACATATGATTGTTGAATATCCACTGTGTTCTAGAGAAACACTATCCCCTACATCATCCAGGTCCTCCATGTGGCCCTCCGTGTGGCACCATTCTTTAGCTCATTTGCCTCCTTCTCTCAGCTATCTGAGGGGAAGAGCCTTATCAACTAATTCATGACGAGGTACTAATTATTTTGAATAGCTTGATGTATTACCTAGTACCAGAGTTTTTCCATCTTTTATGTAAATACACCTTAACCTAAAACAATGAATTTGCAACTGTATCTAGTAAGAGATCATTTTTTAAGAGACACCTTTCTGGTTTTTCTCAAGTCATTCCACAAGGACCACCACCTTTCTTGAAACAGAATGTTCTTTACTGGCTTGAGCTATGCTTTTCTAGCTACTAAAGTCTATGTACATTCATATGATGATGGCTTGCAACACATATTTATATATATTTGAGTTGGAGTCTCACTCTGGCACCCAGGCTGACATGCAATGGAATTTTTATGGCTCACCACAGCCTGGACATCCTGGGCTCAGGACTAAAAGTGTGTGCCACCATGCCCAGGAAATTTTATTTTTATTTGTGTAGAGATGAGGTCTTGCTATGTTGTCTAGGCTGGTCTTGAACTTCTGGGCTCAAGCAATCCTCCCACCTTGGCCTCCCAAAGGACTGGGATTACAGACATGAGCCACTGAACCCAACCTATAATGTTTATATTGCGCTGCTCGGCTAACTCTATTCAGCCTGTAGAACTGTGAAAAATTCATTATAGAATTTGGAAACCAATATTTGGGTAATATTTTAAATTCCCTTATAATTATATCAGAGTATTTCAAATTGTGTTTATTATGTGCAAATTTGTGGTAACTGTACTAGATACTAAAATGTGAGTGATTTATTGACCACTTATACTGAAATGTTTAAGATGAAGACTACGTAATGTTTTTCTTTCTTTGAACTAGGAGCTGAAGCTAATTTTATATTGAAAATTCATCCTCTGAAGAAATATCCTGTAGATCTTTATTATCTGGTTGATGTCTCAGCATCAATGCACAATAATATAGAAAAATTAAATTCCGTTGGAAATGATTTATCTAGAAAAATGGCATTTTTCTCCCGTGACTTCCGCCTTGGATTCGGCTCATATGTTGATAAAACCGTTTCACCATATATTAGCATCCACCCTGAGAGGATTCATAATCAATGCAGGTATCTAGCATTTTATGTGGGTGATACTAAGTGCATTTTTGGCTTATAAAATTCTACTTTGTTTTATATAAGAGGTCACCAATGTTTTTATTTTGTCTTATAAAATACAAAAAATATTTGGACAGGAGTCTTGTGTCTAACTTCTGAAATTACCTGTAGATTAGGCTTTTCAGTTTATATTTCTTCAAATATTTATTCAGTTTTTAATCACAAAAAACCCTGCCTGATCTTAGTAATTTTGGATTAACCTCCAGTAATTATACTCCCATGTATACAAATGCCACTTTGGAAATTCTGTATTTCTTTTTTCCAATTGCTCCGAATTTGTTAAGGTTTGACATGTGTTAAAGTATTTATTTTGCCAATGCTTCATCTATCTTTCCATTACTGTATAGTGACTGTGTATAATTATGTTATGTACAATGTGAATACAAAAAAAGCTCAACTATCACATGGAAAGTGGGTTGAAAATGAGAATCTGACTGCTTAGAAAGAACCTTTTTTAATTGCCATTTTGGAATTCAGATTCTAAATAGCACATGCCCTACCATGAAAGAAGAACTCATCTTAAAATTACAAGTTTCTCATACAATATTGCTGTTAGCCTGCTGAATTTTCATAGAAATAAATCTGCATAGTTCTTTTTTCATAATATATATATATATATATATATATATATATATATATTTTGAGTTGGAGTCTCACTCTGTCGCCCAGACTGGAGTGCAGTGGCCGCTCCCGGCCACCGCAGCCTTGACCTGCTGGACTCCGGCGATCCTTCCGCCTCAGCCTTCCAAGTAGCCGGAATTACAGGCATGCGCTACCACGCCTGGCTGATTTTTTGATTTATTGTAGAGATGAGGTCTCGCTGCCCAGGCGGGTCTCGAACCCACGGGCTCAGGCAATCCACTCACCTCAGCCTCCCAAAGGCGCGGGATTACAGGCTGAGCCACCGAGCCCGGCTTCCATAAAATATTTTATTTTAATATTTTCCTACCTTCACAAATTGTTCGGATCACCTTACATTACACTTTCAAGTCTACCAAAACAACTCTGTTATCTGCTGTACCAGAACAGGACTGACGTATCTCCTAATGGTGTTTCATGAGCCTTCTTGAAGGTGAATTCACCGAGGAATGTGTCTCTCTTTTTGGGATATCATGGAATTCTCAAAATAATTTTAATAAATTTTGATTGTTCTCCAAGAACTCCACACCAAGCATCACTTAAAGAATGAGTGCAACTTTAAAAAATCAAACAATAGTATGATATTTCAACTAAATTCCCAAAATTATTTCCTCAAAAGTGTTTCTCAGTTGTTCCATGGTATATTGTGATAAGAAATAAATGCAAATTTTTATATTCCCCTTATAAAGTCATAGTGTATTAGTATATTAAAAGACCTGTGTTGTCCTGTGTTAAAGAAACATAATTCATCATCTGTATTTATTTGAACACCAAAAATTTTTTTTTTAAGTTGAGGGTCTCACTGTCACCCAGGCTGGAGTGCAGTGGCATGATCACAGCCTAGAACTCCTGGGGTCAGGAGATTCTCACGCTGGAACTATAGGCATGTGCCACCATACCCAGCTAATTTTTTAATTTATTTTGTAGAGATAAGGACTCACTATGTGGTGTAGGCTAGTCTCGTACTCCTGGGCTCAAGCAGTCCTCCCACTTCAGCCTCCCAAAGCGCTGGGATTACGTGTGTGAGCCCCCACACCTGGTCTGAACACCTAATATTTATAGTCCTATTTTCCAATTGCAAGGAAATAGTCACCAATAGTGAACTTCCCTCTAATTTTATAAGTACAGATCTTTGTCTTATACAATTTCCCTGGACAAAAAAAACAAAAACACGTATTTTCTTTTTATACAACTACACAGTTTTACAGTTAGTAGTATTCTGGAACTTTTAAGGAAGCATAGCAACATAGACTTTGCATTTTGCATTTCTTCTTTTCCCATATAGTGACTACAATTTAGACTGTATGCCTCCTCATGGGTACATTCACGTGCTGTCTTTGACGGAAAACATCACTGAGTTTGAAAAAGCAGTTCACAGACAGAAGATCTCTGGAAACATTGATACACCAGAAGGAGGTTTTGATGCCATGCTTCAGGCAGCTGTCTGTGAGGTAAGAGGTTTCACATGATGGACTGTTTGCTCCGATGCAAACTCTCCAAGAATCTAGAATTTTCATCTTCTCTGCTTATGGAGTGAAAATACACTATAGAATATATGTTTTCCAGTCTCTTACTCCTCACCAGGGTTACTCATTTTGGTATATGTTTGACACAAAGGAGCTTAATTGGGAAAAGGGGTATAAGCAGGAAAAGACAAAAAGGAAAGGATACCTTATGCACGGGAAAATCCTTTCCCAAGGGGCTGCTCTTTCGTGCACCACACTTCATGAAAGAACTAGAAGTAAATGCTTGTCCTACTCACTTCAGGTTTTTGTCCTACTTTGTAACCTGTCTTATTCTGCCTCCGGTGGAACAAACACTAACAGTCTCTAGCCAGGAACTAGTATGGTCAAATGACTGAGAAATTGGAGAATATACAAATAAAAGTCAATGCTGTTTATGAAGCAGCATTGTACTTACACGCATCCTTCTCGCCTGACTTAATGTTCGTCAGCTCAAAAGTAACATTTACTTGAGTAAAGACCACAGTACACATCTATGTTATTGTGCAAAGTCTAATTGCATGTTTATTTTAAGAGTCATATTGGATGGCGAAAAGAAGCTAAAAGACTGCTGCTGGTGATGACAGATCAGACATCTCATCTTGCTCTTGATAGCAAATTGGCAGGCATTGTGGTTCCCAATGACGGAAACTGCCATCTGAAAAACAATGTCTACGTCAAATCAACAACCATGGTAACGTAGCCCCTTGGTAGCTCTGGCTCTTTTGGTTAAAGTGTAAAAGCTTAAATTGGTAATCCAGCTGTTCTTGTACCAAGAAATTACCTAACAAAGCAAGATACAGAAATAAGATAAGCTATGCAAGAGAATTTATGGAACAATGTAATCTATAAATGCTGATCAATAAGACATATGACTAAAATACTTGGACATCTTCTAGTAGCTGACTCTTTCATGAACTACAAAGCACAGCATAATTTTTGAAAATAAAGATGATACAAGAACTTACTTTTTATGTAATTAAAGGACTTTGAGAGGGGAAAAGGCACATCTCTGCTTTATTCAAATAGGCTAGTTCCACAGGGTTCTACGACCTCAATATAGTCTACAAACATATTAAGTTGTGGTGAGAAAAGTGTATTTGACCTGAGGAAACTTAACAGTACAATAGGTAGAAACTAAATAGGAGCCAGGAAAAAAAAGAGTGAAACAAAGCAGGCTTTCTCTACTTTGTACCCTACTTCTTCTCTCTGCAGCTTATCTATATTCAGAGCTTTCTTTCTTTCTTTTCTTCCTTCCTTCCTTCCTTCCTTCCTTCCTTCCTTCCTTCCTTCCTTCCTTCCTTCCTTCCTTCCTTCCTTCCTTCCTTCCTTTCTTTCGTTGGAGTCTCACTCTGTCACCCAGACTGGAGTGCAGTGGCCACTCCCGGCCACTGCAGCCTCGACCTGCTGGGCTCTGGAGATCCTTCCGCCTCAGCCTTCCAAGTGCTGGAACTACAGGCGCGGGCTACCACGCCTGGCTGATTTTTTATTTTTATTGTAGAGATGAGGTCTCACCAAATTGCCCAGGTGGGTCTCAAGCCTGCGGGCTCAGACAATCCACTCACCTCAGTCTCCCAAAGCGCTGGGCAGAGCTTATTTTTAAATCAGTTGATAGCTGGAGTGCTTCCTGAGAGTCAGTGTAAACTCTGAATCATACATTAAATACAATAATCTGAAAACACATCTTCCCTGACATTAACTAATTCTAGTTGTGAAAAAAACAACAACCCATAGCATCATTTCTTTCTATCGTAGACACCTACTTATATATTCTTGCAAATGTTAAAACAGAAGCGCACAAACTTTCTCAGTTTATGGAACCCTAGTGTCTCAGTAATTTTTTTTCCCATGGCACTCCTAGGCTAGAAGAAATAACTAACATTTCTGTTTATTGAGTAAAGAACCAAACAACTTAACTGTTTAAGCCCTAACAACTTAGTAGCCAGTCAAAAAAAATGTAAATGAATCAAATATAGAGATTTTTTTATCAGTGTTAGTAAATAACTTATTAATGGAGCTTAACTAAATCTTATAAGTAGATTGGACATTGCCACCTAATTTTCTGTTCCATGCTGATTTTCAAGTTGACCAGCTTGACAAAATATGATGTCATTTAAAAGAATAGAACCAAATGTAGTTAAAACTGTGAACTACCTCCAACTAGTAGTTCATGGTACCTTGACTTATGCTGAGGGCCACTGTGTTTCCCATGAAAATTTAAACTATCTCATGACACCCTTGGAAGTGTATTGCAATGCTCTAAGGCACCTCATGGGAAGCACATTTGTTATAAACATATAAATTATAAATTATGCTGAAATTTGTGTGATTCCTACTTGTAAATTTAAATAGATCACCAAATAATTTAGAACATCCTACCAGACTTTTGGAAAGTGTAGAAGGACAATTATATTACTATATAAAACAAGTTCAAACCTTGACTAGTTTAGTTTTTTGAAAGTCATCTCAAAATGTAAAGCTTTTAGAAGGTAACTAGAGATTGAATTTAAACCTTCTAGATTTGGAGTTATTCCAATAGTGTCTTTTTGTTTAATTCTTTTCTATGTAGTTTCATTTCACTTTAGCAGACCCACCTACTTCTCCTTAGTCATTTCTTATCTATCCTTCCTTGAATTAACCTCTTTTGATCAGAGGTAGAGTTCTGATTTATTTATTGAGAAGTAGAGGAGGATACCAGAGGAACTATTTTATTTTGAGACAAAGAGAATCTTTTTATTTTTTTAAGAAGAAATAACAGTGACTTTATTCTCAAATTTCATTATTCTTTTGAAGCTTTGCCAAAGTCACTGAAGTCATCTCTCCATAATTGTATTTGAAAGGATGCTGTTGCTCATTTAGGGAGGATTCATTAGTCAAAGAAATGCTGTCGTAAGTTTAGATATATCCCATATCATAGAACCTTATGGAAATAAATTATGGTCCCAATGGAATTTTAGACAGTGCTTGTGTTCTTATGACATTAGGAAATTGGATAATATATCAAGGACTTCTTTTACCTTCTTGGTTATTGTTTCATGTCTTTAAAGGAATGACCCTTCCACATCTTCCTGCTATAGTATGTTGAGTATTCCAAGAAGTAGTGTATTAGTTAATATCTTAGAAAAGTACTTTTATTTCAATAACCCTAAGTCTGTGTTTTAAGTGATCCTCCTTCTAAAAATTATCATTCTGTTTATTTCTAGGGACACTGATTTATAAAATAAAATTTTTAAAAAGCTGAAGCATTTTGATTGCTCCCTTGGCTATGCATTTATACCTACAAGATGTGTTGCTATTTCAGAACCTTCTATAACTACCTTGACCTTGACTCTAATCATATATATCTGCTAATTTTCAAATGACCTCCATCCTCTTCTGTTCAGCTATTATGGAGGAATTTTAAAGTAATCAAATACTTTGCTTCCTGGTTCTGTCTCCAGCAACCAATACAAGTCATGTTGAATGGTATCTGAGCTTCTTGGTTCAAGACTGCTTCTTTTACTTATAGAAGGAAATAGTTTATAAAAGACCTTTTATATGTCTAAATTACATGGGACAGAGTTCTATTGCTTGCACACATAGCTATTTCCTGAAGGTCAATGTGAACATCAGACTAATAACAACTATCATTTTTTTTAGTATGTATTATCTAAAAGCACCATAGCAAATATTTTTCATAGAGTACCAAATTTATCTTTACAACATCTTTCTAGGATAATCATAATTACCCTCTTATTACAAACAGAAGGACTGAAGGTCAGAAAAGTTAAGTTAGTTGCTTGAGGACAAATGCCTAAAAAAATTAATAAATTGCACAGCTGCACACAATCCATCTCAGTCTTATATTAAAATCTGCATTCCTAACTACTTTGCCACAGTGTGTAAACTGAAAACTCGAAGAAATAGAGAAATGATGTTCTTGTTGTCATTTCCACTCTAACTTTCTGATGTCAGTTGTACTTATAAGTAGAAGCCAGATGATTTGATCTACATAAATTCCAAAACAGGCAACCTCTTTGAGTACCCTCCCACTGTGGGAGCTTTTCTGTCCTCTCAATAAATCCTGCTTTCAAAAAAAATTTCCAAAACATGATATAATCTAAAATTATTTATATTTACATATTGTTCATATTTGTATATGGTTGTAACAAAGGATGTTACACTACTGAATAAATTTCATTTTCCACTGTTTTTTTTTCCTTCAAGAATATGTGCCAGCATTAGAAAAAATTGAGTAGCAATATAGTTCTATAATTTACCAAGTAAATATGACAATTAAAATTGAGGCATTCTTTCTAAAACAAAAACTTGTTAATGGTGTAGAAGACAGGTTATTAATACTGAGGGTCTGGAATTTCACCCATCTCCCCACCCAACTCCTCCGGGACTAGTTCCACCCTCAATGAGAGCCCTCCCAGTAATCGTCACTCCACCCTTGGTGGAAGCCAAGAATAGCACCAAGATCTCCAGTAACAATGAAAGGAGCAAGAATGTGGAGGTCATCCAATGAACCTTATCAATGGGATTTTCAGATGATGTTGTGACTCACAGTCCTGAATAGATTCAAATAGGCAAGATCCTCCCACACTCTTGTTGTATGTGCTAGTATATACAATATATTATCCAGTATTGACACATCTAGGCTTGGTGTTCTTCCACGCAGTCTTTTATATGCCTCATCACATGATGGCCAGTGATTATTCATACCTTCTATCAAATAATTCCTCAAAATTCCTTTAACACTGGCTCCATAGTTCATTCCTTTTCCTGAAGCCTCATTTGGTTAAACTAGCTGCCAAATAGATCAGCATCTCAGAGTATTGAGCCAGAATTGTAGAAAGCATATGGGACATTACTGAAGAATTTTGCTTCAGTAAAAATAATCAGCACCATGCCTCTTCTCATGCAACTTTAACATGCACTTGACTTTTAGTATGCAATTCAGAAAGTTTTTTTTAACCATGAATTTCAACTACTTAGAATTATATTCAATTTTTTTCAGAACTGCAGATGAAGAAAAAGAACTTAAAATACTTTACTAACTTAATCAATAGCTTTGCTATTTAAGTTAATTAGCAAAGTTTCATAATGTTAGTACATTTATTTTAGGGCTCCATATTTTTTTCTCAAAGGGATATTTCTGACACTTTCAATGTCTGGAAGACATTTATAACTAATGTTGATAGCAGACTGAATTCCATTTAGGGAGATAATTGTAATCTGCTAGTAAAAAGATTAGTTACTTTTTTTTTCTGTTCTGTGAGTGAGAAATAGCCTTTTCAACTTTAGGATGTGTTAAATGTCTCTCTCTTTTTGCTCCCCAGATTTCTTTGCCTCAGACACATATTAATAAAAATGCCCATTCTTTGAACACTTATTTTGTGCCAGACATGAATGCAACTAAAAAGTTTTAAGTCCATGTGCAACTTAAAAATAATATTATAACATCTTATGGGGATTTTAAAAACTATAAAAATGCCTTATATCAGCTTACTGCTTGCTGAACAATCTGCTTTAAATTGTAAAAACTGTGAGAATATTTCAACAGTAATTTTATGAGACCTAATTTGAATGTTTCTCATGTTCTCAGAAAAGTGACCAGGAAATGATCTCTGCAAAAAATACTTAGTTGGAATTTTTTAAAATTGAAAGCAAAAGTCACACGTGGAAATCACCTGTGCCAGGTCAGAGTGGCCTGGCTCTGCTGGGTAGTGCCTCTGAATGGGATAAAGTGATGGTTTGCAAAAGTGACACAATACAATTCAAATCTGATGAAAAAATATTTATGGAATGGAATGTTCTAATTAAATTAGGTGTTCTGGTTGAATGATATTTCAGCAGAAAGCTTTTTGTTGCTATTCTCAGTAAAGAAGTTTATGAAAATTATCAGTCCATACCCTCCTTCAGTTAAATAAAGTATCATGATTACAAATGACACGTTTGGCAAGGGTCACAAACTCAAACACCTCTGGAGTCAGGTACGAAGGGTAAATGAATATGTGAGGCAGGCCAATCAAAGCACATTCAAGAGCATATCTGGCCTTATAAAGGCCTCCAAGTGTCTTTCATTTAAAACTCTTTTCTTAAGCAGTCCTAGGGTGTCTGTTTATATTCATGCAACACCACCCAGCATCCCAGCGAGATGTAAATATTGCTTTACTTCTATTTTATAAATGAGAAAAATAGCAGCACTAAAGAAATCAGAACCTTGGCTGTAATCACATATCCCTAGGTAGCAGTGCCTACAGTAGACGGCAAGTAGTGTGACATGAGGACATGAGCCCCTGTTACGGTTGATCGAGGCTTAGTAACTACAAAATAATAGGTGAATGCCTTTGCACATGTTAACCTATTTAATCTCCACAATAACTGTGAATGCCAGATGCTAGTATTTATACCTGTGTTATACTTACAGAAACTGGATCCCAGAAAGGTTAAGACAGATGCCTGGCATCACATCATTAGTAATTGCAGAGCCAGGAGTTGAAGTCCCAGGTTATCTGTCTCCAGAGCCCCTGTGTGTGGTGTGTTTCTCAATTGAGTGACTTTGCCCTCCAGAGGACATTTTCATGTCCTGAGACACTGTGGTTGTCATAACTAGGGAAAGTGGGTGCTACTGGCATCTAGTAGGGAGAGGCTAGGGATCCTAGTAAACATCCTCCAATGTACAGGACAGCCCCCTTTACCCAGCAAAAATATCCAACCCCAAGTGTCAATAGCACTGCTGTGGAGAAACCCTGGTCTATGAGGTTACCACTGTACACTCATGTACATAGAAAATCAGTGATCTGGGTAGATGCAAACTGTACAGTGTTTAAAGTCTCCTCTCTAAATGAACCTCTGCTGTCAGATTGTTTCCATGTTATTTGTCTTTTACCTCTAAAAAGCAAATTCTAAAAAAGTAATCCAGATAGTTGAGTATTTCCTTTAACTAAGTTGTTGGGCTTTAATATCTTATTACAATATTTACTATTATATTATCTTACAAAAAATTTTATTATGAATCTAACTTTTACGAAGAGAACCTTAACACTGCTTCTTCATTTACCTAGATTAACACACATTATTACTATTCTACCATACATCTCTACACAATTATCTCTTTAACCAAAATGGCTCCCAATGAATCATTCTCACCTTTCTTTCCTTCTACATTTATGTTACTTCCTGCAGCCTTAATTACTTAGCAGCTGCCTTGGCATATTGCTTTCCTTCTCCCTTTCACCCCTGAAATGCCTGTTATCTCTAGTAATTATTTTCAGAGTTTAGAGAAACAATATGTAATGGGTTAGACAGAGGTGGAGTTAGATTTCAGGAGCAGTGACGTCACCAGAACAGGACAGCTGGCTGAGAGGGAGTGTGTCTCTTGCTAGTAAAATAACAGACATAAAAGATAAAACACTTAAAAGATAGGACGTTTCACGGAGGAGAGGGGAAGGGGCTTTAGCAATGGCCATTAATCCACAGGTTTCCTGTCAACAGTGATGTATTTAAACATCTGTTATACATTTGTAATTTTAAAAAATATGCCTTGAGGTACTTGGAATTTTCTGTTAAAGCAGATTTCTCTCTAGGTTTCAAAAACTGTGTTCTTTTAAGCTTAAATATTTGACTGACCTTCTTAATGAGCTTCTGACCAACCTAGTACTTTACAGATTTAAGCGTTGTGTACTTTTGGTCAACGTGACTTCCTGTTTGGGGAAGAAAGAAAGAGATTAAGAAAGCTCCAAAAACTGCTTACATTTTAGACTGTTCTTTAAATATTGATTTTATGTGAATTAAGTATAAGCTGGTTAAAAACATATGGATTAAATTTTCCTTAAAATATGAATGGTTTTAAAAATTAGGAAGGGCGAGTGCTTGGCAAACTGTGACTGCTTTTTGTTAAAGAAAAATATTTGAAAAGTAGTTGTTGGCATTAAAAAATATTCCCAATACAACTACATTTACCTTGTCTTTATTTCTTCTCCTTAATTCACTAGCATTATATGAACTGTCATGAATCTATTTTAAGATTATGTATTTTATTAGAAACAGGAATAAGAATTTAACTGGCAGAATTTTTATCTTAGAGATTTATCTTCTATTTCTTTAAATTATATTCTTAAGAATTTCCCTGGGCAAAATTTTTCCTATGCAAGCCCATGTGGTAATACTTTTTAAGCCTCTTCAGAAATTGGTTTCATATCATATTTACATACAACCCATGAAAATTTGATTTGTTTCTGTCACAATTATAAATTATATAGAAATAAAATGATATTTGTTATTTCTCATTTTAGTGATAGTAGTTCTAAACATAAGCCTGTATTTTATGTCTAGATACATAAATGTAATATGTGGGATACAGAACTTACACTATAAGTGAAAGTAGTTAATTTAACTCTTTTACTAAGTTCTCATGGTTGCCAAAATACAGAAATATTAACCAAGATGGTACAGTAAGATTTTCCCTAACAGAAAACACATTTAGTACTAGAGGGTGCTTGGGGAACTAAAATTATAGAATAACTTGAACTTGAATCATATGATACTGATTAGGTTCAGTCACATAATCTTTTACCCATTTAAGCACCAACGTAAAGGCAGAGAAGGCAAGTGGAGTTCGGCATCCTCTCCCTGACAGGTGTCTGGTTATGAACTTGCTATTGGAAACAATCACTTTAATTTCTAGAACAGCATTTATAGAAAGAAAAATTACTAATGCTGTGTATGCCTAGATAACTTTAGATAGCAATTTCTATAATTGTCAGATTTCTCATATTTTCTAAACTAAATTTTACTCCCTTTTCTCCTACTCATCCCTAGCTTTCTCACTACCATAAAGAATGTCACAATTGGCTCCATGTAAGTTTTGTTTATCAAAGTAAAGCAGGTCAATAATATATCATACAACAAAAATATTAAGTATAATGATATTAAGTTGAGATAGCTATAATCTATACTTTGTGTACGCAGTTGGAAATAGAGGCCATAATTGCTAGTAGATTTGAATACCTAACATATACAAGAAACTGCACTAACAGTTTCCATACTATTGTTATTTTCTAAATCTTGCCAGCAATCATGGAAGGCAGATTTCACTCACATGATACAGAAGACGAAACTGAGAATTTTTGTCATTAAGTGACAGACCTGAGATTTGAGTAGAGGGTTTTCTCCTTCTAGAGAGAGTTTATAGTATATCTGTTATATATCAAATGTATGTGTGCATATATGTGTGTGTGTCTATGTGGAATGTGTATATATATATATGTGTGTGTGTGTGTTTATGGGTATATACATAAACACTCATGTATTTGCATTTCAACACTTGTTACTGAATTTTGCCTCAGAAAGTGGTTGTCACTAATATGTCTCTGTTTCTGAATATTAAATTTTTTTCAATTACATTACTTTGAGTCCAGTGTTAATCTAAAGAAGTACCAATCACTGTGCTATGTCGAATTCAGTCATCTTCATTTTTATGAGCTATAAGTTTTTATGGAAATTTTGTCTATAAAATATCCTTAATACATTGATGTTGGTGTTATTCTTGAAAATAACTTAAATGTCTCTAGTAAAACCATAATACTTCCCAAATTCATTTTTATGTAAGTCATAGAATTGTCTTCATAATAGATGTTTGGATATGTGTAAACTTGAGCAACTAAATTTCACTCCCTTCTGTATTTCATTACCCATTACAGGAACATCCCTCGCTAGGCCAACTTTCAGAGAAACTAATAGACAACAACATTAATGTCATTTTTGCAGTTCAAGGAAAGCAATTTCATTGGTACAAGGTATGTTAACTCCCAAAATATAAACGTTAAAATGTTTTCATTGGTAGTTGAAATGAGAACACTTTTTAGAGCCACAGATATGGATTCTGGAATTATTATACTTTGTACAACCTAAATGTAATAGTGTATTAACTAAAGAACACTTTACAGTGTCTTAAGTTGGCATTTAAGTCTAGATTCTATTGAGGTTTGTAATACATAGAACTAAGTGTTGGCACTAGATGCTTTCTAAGAATCATATTCAATACATATGGTTGCAGGCAATACTTAAAATGGTACTGAATATGACACTAATGAAGAAGACTTTTATCAGGTTAGAAGTGGTATACACTCTTCTCTATGACTTACACTCATCTCTATGCCTCTCCTGTTGCAAGAGTCCTGCTTATATTCCAGTCTGTGGTTATATCCTTACAATAAGTTAAAGTTGGAGAATATCAGCTTAATTTTTAATATGACTGACATGTCTAGCTTTGGTGTAGGTCATTCAACAAAGGGCCAAGAGGAGCCATGGAAGTGACTCAGGCAGTCAAAGCCATTGTATGCAAGAATAATCTCGGTAGTATCCAGAGTCCTTTGTGCCAGATGAAACCCACAAGCAGAATAGACATTTGGCAACTGTGTCACTCTGGGGGTGCCATGGAACCCCCCAGCAGAGAACTGCTCCTCAGAAGCCCTGCAGTAGCTTTCTTTGTACAGCGTTTTAAGTTCTTTCTTCCTGGAAACTGTTTTCTTCGTTTCCATGAGACTGTGATACCATAATTTCCATTGTGCATCTCTGTACACTGGGTTTTCTTCATCTTCTTTCCTAGCTTTGCTTCTTCCTTCTACTCCCTAATGGTATATACCCTTCCATAGCCAGTCCTCAGTGTCCTTTATTTATTTTTAAAACTTCAGAAGAGGCCGAGCACTGTGGCTCATGCCTATAATCCTAACACTTTGGGAGGCCAAGGTGAGAGGATTGCCAGAACCCGAGGGTTCGAGACCAGCCTGGACAACGTGACGAGCTCTCTTCTCTACAATGAATCAAAAATTAGCCGGATGTAGTGGTGTGCATCTATAGTTCCAGCTACTTGAAAGGCTGAGGTGGAAGGATCACCTGAGCCCAGCAGGTCAAGGCTGCAGTGGCTTGTGAGTATGCCACTGTGCTCCAGTCTGGGTGAAAGAGACTCCAACTCAAAAAAAAAAAAAAAGAAGAAGAAGAAAGAAAAAAATTTTTTCAGAGAAACTGCATTTTCTTTTGACTTTAACAAATGCTTGAACCCATTTGCATTTACCCCAAGCCGGTGTTCCCTCCACCAGTTTCCTTAATATCTAACCTGAATATTTATCATCTGAAGGACTTCTTGAATCATGTCACTTCAAAAATCTATGATAAAACTTTATTTATTTTTAATTCATATGAATGTATGGGGTATAAGTGCAATTTTGTTATATGCATAGATTGCACTGTGGTGAAGTCTGGGCTCTTAGGGTACTCATCACCTGAATAATGCACATTGTACCCACCAGATAATTTCTCATCATCCACCTCTCCCACCCTGCCACCGTTCTGAGTCTCCAGTGTCTGTCATTCCACACTCCACGTCCATGTGGACACATTTAGATCCCATTTATAAGTGAGAACCTGCTGCATTTGTCTTTCTATGTCTGACTTGCTAAGACTTTATTTAATTCCTTGTTTTTCCAAATTTATATACCATAGAACCACTTTCAGAAGTAGGGCTCTGACCCAAATTAAACGGCCCAAATTATTATATTAATGGCAATAACAACTTCAACTTATTGGGTATTTTTGTGAGGCACTGAGTTTGTAAACAATTCATCTAATCCTCTTAGCGACTCAGAACAATGAGACCAGTCTTACTAATATGTCCATTTTAAAGATGAGGAAACACATTTAAGGAGATTACATACTTGTCCAAAGTGGTTTAACAACCCAAATCCTGTGTTCTTAGTTGACTTCCAGTTACTATGAGGCACTTTGTGGCTTTTGCCACCTCTTTCTCTGCTGTTTATTTCTTCTCGATAGCATTATTATTTTCTCCCCACTTTTTTTAATATTGTCATTGACTGATAAACCATAAACCAGGCTTATTATTCACTGAATTGTGTGCAAAGTAAAAACCAACAGGCTCCAAAGCCTGCCAAGCTCTGCTGTGAGTCCCTTGCCTACTCTTGCAGTCACCTACTTTGTCTACCCAGGGATCTTTTATATTAGTCACCTTTCATCTGGGTTGTGACAGCCTCGTAACTGGTCTCCCAAAGCCATCCTCCACCTGGCTGCTGGGATCATCTGTGGCAATCACAAGTGTGACCACAGTCCTTCCTTTAGTAAAACATGCCAGTGGTGCCCTCAAATTTAGAGAACCAAGTCCTCTAACATGGCATGAGGCCATCTGGACTCTACTTGCCTCTCTGGCTTGATTCCCCCACTGTTCTCTTCCTTGTGCTTGTCCTTCCAGCCATGCTTCTAATCCTCCTGTGTACATGTGTGTGCCAGGCCATTTCTTTCCTCTGTGCCTTTGTTCTTGCTGCCTCCTTCCCTCCCCGTTACTTGGTTAACTCTTACTCATCCTTTAAGACATGGCTCATAAGTCACCAGGAAACAGGCTTTGACAAGCCCCCCCAGCTCTCAAATGCTTGCCAGATATCCCTCATTAGGGTCTGTGCATATCTACATTGCGTCATGAATGCAGTGTTTGGTGAAATTGTCATACATATACCTATGAGATCCACAGGGATGGAGACTATGTGCCCTAGTAATTTAGCATCTCCAAAGTGATACAAAATAGGTGCTCTAAAAGTTGAACAAATGAATTTTTAAAATCTATAAGTGATACATTTTCCCTATGACTTGAGATGGCAAATTGTTAGTGTCTAAGTAGTGATTGGCATACAGCAGTTACTCAATACTTATGAATTGAAAAATGCATCAATAAATAGATTTTAAGAGTTTTTAATCTGATTCCTTATAAATAAGAGCTCTTCACTCTAGTTAGACTTATGTCTTTTTTTCTTTTTTTTTTTTTTTGAGTAGGAGCCTCACTCCGTCACCCAGGCTGGAGTGCAGTGGCATGCTTACGGCCACCATAGCCTTGACCTTCTGGGCTCAGGCCATCCTTCCGCCTTAGCCTTCCAAGTAGCTGGAACTCCAGGTGTGTGCCACCATGCCCAGCTAATTTTTTTGATTTATTGTAGAGACAAGGTCTCGGCAAGTTGCACAGGTTGGTCTCGGACCCCTGGACTCAGGCAATCCTCTTGCCTCTACCTCCCAAAGTTCTGGGATTACGTGCTTAAGTCTGCACCCAGCAGACTTATTTCTTATCTGTCATTGCTTCATCCTCAGCTAGGATAGACCTTTAAGCCTTTGTGCATTCTGATTTTCTCCCCAGGAATTTCTAGAGTCTTCTCCATAATTATTAAGCACCATCCATCAAGAACACTGCTCCAAGAATCTTCTACTTGTGACTCTGATTCCTTTCCTTCAGTCTTTTTCAAAATGTTTTAGAAGTCATTCCATGAAACAGTAGTTCTGTAAAATATTTATACGTGTTGTGTAAGAAAAGAGTTTGGTAACTAAAGAAATATTGGGAAATGCTGTATTAAATAATGTTACATCATTTCAAAATTACAAGCCTACTCTGAATCTTGTAATTTGAAAATGTGCATTTTGAGTCTCTAAGTGGAAGAAACTATATGCAGAGATTCTCAAATTCGTTTGCCATCAGAGCCCTTTTCATGTTTAAAATCTTTGGGGTCACCAGGCTCGGTGGCTCATTCTGTATTCCCGTGCTTTGGGAGGCTGAGGTGAGTGAATTGCCTGAGTCCCTCCTGGGCAACTTGGCGACACCTCATCTCTCCAATAAATCAAAAATTAACCGGGCGTGGTAGCGTGTGCCTGTAGTTCCAGCTACTTGGATGGCTGAGGCAGAAGGATCACCGGAGCCCAGCAGGTCGAGGCTGTGGTGGCCGGGAGCAGCCACTGCACTCCAGTCTGGGCGACAGAGTGAGACTCTAACTCAAAAAAAAAAAAATCTTTAAGGTCTATGGTCCATGAAGATACTTTGGGAGATGCTGGTCTATATCTTGATTATCTTGATTGGGTTTTTAGGTTATCACGTACAGCAATTCAGGATGCATGCATACACTCATACACATGAACATATACACACCACCACTTCAGGGTATTGTGTTCTGGCTGGCCTATTAGGTTCCTTAATATTTTTCTTTTCCTTTTTTTTTGAGCCAGAGTCTCACTCTGTTGCCCAGGTTGGAGTGCAATGGCACGCTCACGGCCACCACAGCCTCCACCTACTGGGAGCAGGTGATCCTTCCGCCTCAGCCCTCCAAGGAGCTGGAACTACAGGCATGCACCACCACACCCAGTTAATTTTTTTAATTATTATTTATTGTAGAGATGAGGTCTCACCAAGTTGCCCAGGCTAGTCTCGAACCCATGGGCTCAGGCAATCCTCTCACCTCGGCCTCCCAAATTGCTGGCATTATTGGTGTGAGCCACTACACTCGGCTATATTTTTCTTGTGTCTTATATTTTTTTCATTTGCATAGTGGCTCACCTTCCACTGACAACTACAACCATGTTTAACATTTGTTGTTTGCTAAACCATTGTATGCTATCATTATTTTAATGCTTCTGCAATGTTTTTATAGGACCTTCTACCCCTCTTGCCAGGCACCATTGCTGGTGAAATAGAATCAAAGGCTGCAAACCTCAATAATTTGGTAGTAGAAGCCTATCAGGTATGTATGTATTATTCTCAATTTTTAAATAATGTGTAACTCCAATGTCTTTGGCATGATACAAAGTAGTGCTGTGTTATCTTGAGAAGAGAGGTAGGAAGAACGTTAGATTAGAAATTAATTAGAAACCTGAAGTTGAGCCTTGACTCCACCACTAACTAGCCCCGATACCCTGGGAAGGTCGTTTCAGCTTTTTGTGCCTCCCTGTCTCCTTGACAATAAGCTAAGATAGGGCTATCAGCTGTCTAAATTCCCTTCCAAATCCAATGCTCAGTGACTCATCAAATCATAACTGTAGAATGTACTTGATTACCAAGAAATTGCATAATTTTATGTCATAAAGTAGAAGTCCACAGTTATTTAAAGCAATAATCTGCCATGGAAGATGAATTATATGGGATATAGACCCCTGGACAAGAGGACTCTGTTGGGTTCTCTATGATCAGTCCCTTGATTGTTCATTCAATTATTTTAGCAATTTCATGAAAATAGCTTGATTAAAAGAAACTTACTAGACATACTATTTTACTGAGTTGGTAGTTGTGTGCTGTCATCAGTCCCATAATCCCATGAAGAGTGGATGTCTAAAGGCAAAAATAAGTAAATAAATAAATATCTGCTTTCTCAACCTGGGTCATTCCCAGATACAATCATATCTGTTAAGACATTACAGTAATAGTCACTCTTTATTACCAGTAAGACCCAGTCACTTTCCAAACATGACCTCATCTAGTGCTCACACCTGATCTATAAGGCAGGTGCTTGTACTCTCATTGCATATTTGTAGACAGCAAGGCTCTGGGAAGTTAAGCAAATTAACCAAAGGTCGCACAGCTAATAAGCAGAAGAAAGCAAGGTCAAAATGCAGGTGTTCCTCGTCTCCAGGCCCCAGGTGCTTCCTACTGTGTGATACCACTTGTTTTTTATTTTTACGTGGTGTCAAAAGATATGCTTTATTCTACCTTGAATTTATGAGCCAATTATATAGTCTCACTTTCTCAAGTTCTCTGGCTCCCTTTCTGACATGTAGAGTCTAATGGTGTAACTTGTAGCCAAAGCATGTGAAAATCCTCCAGCTGGCTTTCTTCTTATTTTCTCCAGGCAGCACCTGCCTTAAACTTAGGTACAAAAGGAAAAGGCAGGAGTAGACACGGGATATAAAATGAAGAGCTTGTTTTAGCTTTCTTCTCTTAAAGGAAAATAAATTCTGCTAGATTTGTCTTTGCCGAGGATTTTTTTCTATGTCTGAAAGGTACATTGAGTAAAATAAGGAACAGCATCTTAAATTACTTGTCTTTCTCACTGTTACAAAAGAACTAGGCTTGGGGGAGCTTCTAAGCAAGGAAAAATTGAACATGTATACAATTCATTCCCATCAGTTGAGGGTTCCCAAGGATAATCAAAATAAGAAAAGAGCCTGTGCTGTTAGGAGTCACCTTAAATTTTTATAGTATGAACCCAAGTATTATCCCATACAAGGTACATAAATTGGCAGATTTTTTGCCTGTGTGTCAGACTGCACCAATGGCAAAGGAGACAACAGCAATTTGGTTTCATGTTCTTATTTGCCTAGAATAGATATGAGGTGTCTTAGCCCATGATAGTTCTAATTAACCTTAGACAGTGGGAAAATGATTGTAAATTCAACAAAAACTTACACTGACTAACTACTCTTCCTAAGTTGGGATTCTACTATTATTTAATATTTGTCTATATCTTTAAAATTCTGTTGAAATTTCATTTTTTCTTTACAGTTCAACAGAATCAATTCACAATTCATTAACAAATTGTACATTGGGAAAAACTAGATTCTGCCTCTGTGCCTATTAGATATTAAAAGGAAAGTTTAAGATTAGATCTGGAGCTTAATTTCTAAATCCCCAAACCAGGAAGAACATTAGAGATTTTGTCTTCACACCCTCCTTGAAAAACATTGGCTAAGCTAGCTTAATATCTTAAAAGAAGAAGAATTTCAGGACAACCTGAGAAAGCTCTCTGTGTGAGACATTTCTTTCTGAACTGTCAGGCTTACATCACAACACCCTTTGTACACCACTGGATGTGTCTATTGGCTTGCCACAATTATTCAATTATGGTTGCAGTGCACGAGTTGCCTGGGAGGAAAAAAATATGGTTAATATAGTCTTACCTAATGCAAATAATGTTTACATTGAGGAATTAGAGGAAAGTATCTTGTTCTAAACATATGCTACCAGAATTCCATGACTGATTATTAATCAGTAAGTGCATGTTTCTTTATTGCTTATACCATTGAAGAGGAAAAATTGCTAAAGAATGAGAAACACTGGAACTTATTTTTCTTTTATATACCTTGCTATTCACTCTTTTTTCTTAGGTGCATACTTTGTGTTTCCCCTTTTTTTGTTTATAAGAATAAATTCAAGATATTTACATGTGGTAAACTCTGAGTTGCATGAGACAAAATGCACACAGGGTTTGAAGAATGTATTTAAAGTAGCTAGATCCTTTGAACTTCAAAGACTGAAGAAATGAGTGTATACTTCCTACATGATAGACATTAAACAGATATTTATTGAATGAGTGTATAAATGGGTGGATAAGTGAATGAATGAATGGTTTTCTGCCAAGTAAGGGCCCTGTTTTGATATTAAGGATTGGAGCAAACTTGACTGACACAGCAAGCAACAAGAATTTGGCAAAAATCCTAGGCCATTCTTGGACCATATATGTTAGCTAATTCTTGTGCCTCCAGTATAGAAGTGGGCTTCCCAAAAATATATCTTTCAACTCTGTATCAATAGGCATTTTATCTTTCATAATAGTCTCAAGTTTTGAAATTAAAATATTTCTTTAGCAGCTGTGTAAGTTAGAAGCATGTTCCACATTTTAAGCTGTCAAGATTTATCTGTTGTTCTGATATATGTATTTTCAATATTCTACTTAAATGTTATCATAACAACGTAAGTATGGTTGGATCAAAATGTGTATTTTGCTAACAGACTTTGAAATATCCTTGAAGTGATCAAAATGACATCATGGAAGTATGTGAATAAAATAGAACAATTTAAATGCAGATTGTAAATTCTTCAACATTTCTTATATATTTCAAATATAATTGGGCTATTGTGTGGAAACACTTTTAGTCATCCCTTTATAGAAAAAGATTCTGATTTACATAAAAATTAAATCTATATATCTTCAATAGGTTTGGTTGCTTACATCTGAAACTACTATAGTATGTAATTTTAAAATGGTTTCTCTGCAGAAACTCATTTCAGAAGTGAAAGTTCAGGTGGAAAACCACGTGCAAGGCATCTATTTCAATATTACCGCCATCTGTCCAGATGGATCCAGAAAGCCAGGCATGGACGGATGCAAAAATGTGACCAGCAATGATGAAGTATGTGGGTGTACATTTTTCCCTTTTAAAATAAACTAAGTTGTTTGGCATGCTTTCTCACATAGAAATCAAAACATTCTGAAAAACTTTACTTACTACTGACTCCAAGAATCTTATTTACACTTTAAGGTAACTTTCATTGTCTCTTCTCAAAATTCCTATTTGCTTTATATCATATTATATAAATTGTTAGTATAAATAATATCAAACAATTATTTAATAATAGTAACTTTAAACTTAGGTCTCACAATCAGTATATGTTAGGAAATCATAGCTGCTCAAACAAGTAGTATCTCTATTTACAATAATGATAATGCCTTTTTGGTTTCAAATCTACAAGTTCTCAAAGTAAATGTGAAATTGAAAAGAATAAACCACAGAAAAGGATGGGAATGATGGAATGATTAATAGGGGCTAAGAATTCCAAAATCTTTCACTTTGTGATTGCCCCAATACTCTCATAATGATCTAGGAGGGGGCAGGGAAATTTGCTACAAGAATAACAATTGAGAAGAGTCATAATTTTACCTAAGTAAATAAATAAATAAAGGAATGTAAAGAAGAGAGGCCCAGATTATAGCAGCATCTGGAAACAGTACCAGAGGAGATAGGAATTTCCCACAATGGACAGAGTAACAGCACAACATGCTGTTAAAGGGGACCCATGTAGGGTGAAGAGATTTTCAAGTGAGTACCTCATGAGGTACTAATTGCCTCGTTGTTAAATAAATGACTTGATCTAGAAGATTTCTAATCACTCTTCTTTCACTTTTAAGATTCTATGATGATTATTTAATGTCATGCTATAGAAAAAAAGAAAGTTATTGAAAGAGAAGATTCTGAAATTGAATAGGAGAGAATATTTTATTCTCTTTAGTTAGGATATATTTTTCTCTCTTGAGAATTTTTAATCTGGAGGTAGTATAATTGTTCTTGCAAGCTGTGTATTTTAAATTAATTCTTGCAAGTTTCTAATTCTGTATTTCTCTCTGTAATCACTCCTTGGATTTTGTTCAAAAGACATATACTAGTTTGCAAAATGCACATTTGATGCTCATTAAATACAGAGAAAACTTTTTACTAGCAAAAGATAACACTAAGTTACTTTCTGACAAAAATGGTTATTTTCTTAGAAGTAGTTTTTTCATTTAAAAATCTCAATTTTGCAAACATGATTTTCCTTACTTTTTGCATTTTTTTTTCTTTGCTTACATTCCATTTTTCCCTTCATTCTCAACCAAGTGGTATAAATAGTTTGACTCTCAGGAATAGTCATATGACCTTTTAATTATATCTCTCTATCTACCTGTTTATCTAAAACTTCCTTATTTGCTAAAGTAAGATGGTAAGATAGATCAACAAGTACAAATAGACATATTAAATCCATTGTGCCATGCAAAAAAGAAGAAAGGAAAAGGAAAATTTGGCAGGAGAAAGAAACTGTAGCTTCATAAAGGAAACTAATTCCTGCCAGCCCAGCTCCTTAGGTGTAGGCTACCTTCTCTCACTGAGACAAATTTTGACCCTGTATTGAGAGGTCTTCAGATTTGAGAATAAGAGTACTAAACCTTTTTCCGTTGAGTAACATCAGAGAAAGCGTCATGCTTTCCTCCATTGACACCCTGTATAAACAAAAATTTAACTCTCATTTTATACATTAGTATAGTATAATATAGTATAGTATAACATTTAACTCTCATTCTATACATAGTCTATACATGAGGGTATGGCAACAGATTTATAGCACATTATTTTGCTATTTATATTTTAACTTATTTTATACAGGAAATACTTTAAAATAAAAACCTAAAATTAATTGTTATTCTCTTTACTTGAGCTCATAGAAAACAGTAACAAATAAAAATTGGTTGTTTGAGCATCTTATCTCTCTGGGTTTTAAGCAGAAGTTCTTTATTTGGGTTTATTTGATCTATCCCTAGTGTCAAATATTCAGTAACTCCATCTTTTAAGGACTGAGTCCAGAAAATGATTTATTCTTTCTCAAATTTGCTAAGAAATCATCAAATGTGGAGTAAACCCTTCAAACGGGTTTGCACACAAGTCTATTTAATGGTGCAATGTAGGCAATTAGCAGTCATTGCATTATCAACTCTCTAGTTCATTAATTAAGAAATAAATGAGCCGGGCTTGGTAGCTCAGCCTGTAATCCCATGCCTTGGGAGGCTGAGGTGAGTGAATTTCCTGATCCTGCGGGTTCAAGACCCGCCTGGGCAACTTGGCGAGACCTCATCTCTACAACAAATCAAAAATTAGCTGGACATGGTAGCGCGCGCCTGTAGTTCCAGCTGCTTGGAAGGCTGAGGTGGAAGGATCACGGGAGCCCAGCAGGTCGAGGCTGCGGTGGTCGGGAGCAGCCACTGCACTCCAGTCTGAGTGACAGAGTGAGACTCTGACTCAAAAAAAAAAAAAAAAAAAAGAAATGACGCTAAAAATGGTTGTTGCACTATATGAAATATAGTGCATGTGTATTTTACAAATATTGTTAATCTCTCTAACTTGATTTTTTATAGATTCAAATATCATTAATATATGTAATACAAATAATCAAGTTATATAAATATATTTTCTTTTTTCCTCCTAAATGTAGGTTCTTTTCAATGTAACAGTTAAAATGAAAAAATGTGAGCTCACAAGAGGAAAAAACTATGCAATAATCAAACCTATTGGTTTCAATGAAACCACTAAAATTCACATACACAGAAACTGCAGCTGTCAGTGTGAGGACAACAGAGGACCTAAAGGGAAGTGTGTAGATGACACTTTTCTAGATTCCAAGTGCTTCCAATGTGATGAGAATAAATGTCATTTTGATGAAGATCAATTTTCTCCTGAGAACTGCAAGCCACACAAGGATCAACCTGTTTGCAGTGGTCGAGGTGTTTGCATTTGTGGAAAATGTTTATGTCACAAAATTAAGCTTGGAAAAGTATATGGAAAATATTGTGAAAAGGATGACTTTTCTTGTCCATATCACCATGGAAATCTGTGTGCTGGTGAGTATAAATACACTTAGACGGTTTTTACTAGTCATTACTACACCAGAATATATGTAAAAGTTTCTATAAATCACATCTTTATAAATTACCAACACTGAGTCTGAATTTGTTATTCAAGGTTTCATAATTTATAAATTAGGGCATAGCAACAGATAAATAGCACATGATTTTAATAGCTATACTTTAATTTATCTTATACAGGAGAAACTTTAAAATAAAAACCTAAAAATGTTACTCTCATGTATTCTTTGATCTTGAAAAGAAATATATCAGGAAAGGAAATTACTGATGATGTCTGACACATATTCTAGAAGAATCAGAGTATTCTTCTAGAAGGATCTGATTCATTCTGGTAAATGGTCACTCCCTCTAACTTGCTCAGATGATTTTATTTCTGTCAGGATGCTGGGAAGTGAGCTATAATAGTATACTTTTCATTCATTTGAAGATTCTTAATACATTTTTATAGATGAAGTTTGCAGTAATTGAAACTTCTGTAGTTTATTTTTGGGATATCACCAGCAACCAAATTGCCAAAGGATAGCATTTTTCAAGAAAATACTGGTTTTCTAAGTAATCTAAAAGTCATGTCCTTGAGGCCACACACAGCCCAAATTTTTTAAATGAAATAAATTAAAACAAAAATATCAAGATTATGCTTTGGCCAATTCAGTTTACTGCTACCTAGAAGTTAGATTCCAGAAAAATCTGTTCAACATTTGAAAAGTAAAACAAAATATTGTTTTTATTTTTTTATTTTAAAGATGTGGGGAACAATTCAGGGTTAGGTATACAGATGTTCATTATGCAGGCACCCTTCTTGATGAGGTGTGCCCCCTCCTTACCCAGGCAGATTCTCATTACTGCCAATCCGGCTTCCCTACCCCCTCCTGGCAGTTTCCCGCTACTGCCAATCTTTTCTTATGGTATCACAATAATTGTTCAAGATCTGCTTATGAGTGAGAACATGTGATACTCAGTTCTTTATTTCACTCAGTATTATAGACTGTAAGTTCATCCAGGTTGCTGTGAAGTTCATGATTTTGTTCTTTATGGCTGCACAATATTCCATCATGTATATGTACCACATTTTTTTAAATCCAGTCCTCTTTTTATGGGCAGCATGGTTGGTTCCATGTTCTTGCTACGTGAACAATGCTGCAATAAACATTCGTATGTAGGCATCTTTTTTATAGAGTGATTTGAGTTCTTCCAGGTATATTCCCAGTAGAGGAATTGCAGGGTCATATGGTAGGTCAATTTTTAGACCTTTTAGGAATCGCCATACTGTTTTCCACAGAGGTTGTACTAGTTTACACTCCCACCAACAGTGTAGAAGTGTTCCCTTTTTGTCGCATCATCCTTTCCAGCATCTGTTGTTTTTTGAGTTATTGATAGCCATCCTGACTAGAGTTAGGTAGTATCTCAGTGTAGTTTTAATTTGCAAAAGATTGTTTTTAAATGGCTTAAATAAACTACCTGTCATCTGAGTTCTATGATAATTTTACTGTGACAATATGATAAATCCACTTATTGTGACAGTATCTTTTTAGAATTTGCATTTTAATAAATAAACATTTGTTAAATCATTGTCATAAGTAAATGGAAAGTAACAAACCTATAAAAAAAAATTTTCTATTCTTGTCTAAGCTGAAAATTTGACCTGTATCATCTAAATGTGTGATGGCAAATTATCTTTTTATTTTATCATATACATACAATATGTTATATTCTGAACATTTATTCAGCTGTAACTGGCATCACTGACCAGATGAATTATAGATAGCTTCAGAATGAACCAGCAGTTGTCTGCTGTATCTTACAGGGAAGAGAAATATTATTTTTCAAGGAAGAGAAAGAATTTTCTGCGATTGCATCCTACAGCTATCAATTGCTCAGGAAAGTTTCAAATACGTTGAGTTTTGTCCTTATCTTTGTTTGCAATGAAATATTAAAAGTGAATGTCCTGGCCCTTCTATATAACCATGAGACTACTGACCCACAGGCAGTTGAGACTCTCTTGTGAATTAATTGTGTATAAATGCATACTGTAGGGTTGACATGCATTTTCTCCACTGATCTCCTTTGGGAATAAAAACACATGTTTGCAGGTCCGCTGGCTGGGATTCAGCACAAAGGCTGCATGCAGAGAATGTCTGGCAGACATTTGTTTGGCCTGGACCTCATTAGTTTTACACTTAGCAAATGTAGCTGATCCTACTATAGACTGTATGGAACAATTACCTAATGAGGTGCTCAGAAATAAAAAGAAAGGAGACAGGGAACTAAGAAAGGAAGAGAAAAAGAGAAAGAAGGAAGAAGGGAGGGGCAGAGGAAAAGATGATCTTTGGCTAAATAAGCTTGAGAAACACTATATAACCCTGTAAAATGTACCCCCAATGAAGATTTGCATATGACATATCATATGACATATTTGCATATTGCATATTGTCATATTACTTGTTGGGTACTTTCTGCAGTCTAAGATCCATTTAACTATGTATAACCCATGTTTCCTCAACCTACTTACCTGCATAAATAATCCCCCCCACACACTCACACCATCTCTCTTGTTTTTATTTAGTGCCTAAAAAGAATTCATAGCATAGATGAGGCCATGCCCTGCTAAGCTACTAAATAATGCACTGAGGATATGAAAAGATCAGTTCAACCTCTTGGGACACCTTATCTTTAAATGTGGCACTGGCAGTTCTGAAGCAGCAGAGAGTGTGCCTCACAGTCCTTTAAAGTTATTCCAGGTTTTTAGCAAAAACGAAAAACTGAGAGAATCAATTATGAATGCCGTTCATCAACTGCCTGTATTTTTCTCATTTCAAGTCAGACAATTAACATTATACTGTAGCCTTTGCAGCTTCTTTATATTTGTGTGCTTTTAACTTAAAACTAAATGTACAATGACATTCAAGTAGTCGGGCAGCCACCAAAGCAGGGACACCCTTCACACTTGTTAGTACAATATATTAGCATGGGGACATCATCTACAATAGAACAACTTTGAAAATAGAACCCCCCAAGTCCTGGCATTGTTCACATCAAACCAATAGAAAATGACGCTGTTTCCATTCACTCGACTGTCAGTGTGTTTCCATGGAGATAGGAGGGGAATTTGTGGTTAGAAACTCTTCACAAAGTCATTGGTCTCAATTACTGAGTTCTTGGGGCGTCTTCGTTGCAGGGCATGGAGAGTGTGAAACCGGCAGATGCCGGTGCTTCAGTGGCTGGGAAGGGGATCGGTGCCAGTGCCCGTCAGCATCGGCCCAGCACTGTGTCAATTCAAAGGGCCAGGTGTGCAGCGGAAGAGGCACGTGTGTGTGTGGCAGGTGTGAGTGCACCGATCCCAGGAGCATTGGCCGCTTCTGTGAACACTGTCCCACCTGTCATACAGCCTGCAAGGAAAACTGGTATGAGTTCTCTGTCTCCAAACATATGTAAAGCTGTCCTCAGGGATAGCTATTTTTGTCCTTTTTTGGTTCTGCCTTGCTTAATCTTAAACGTTGCTGATAAATTGTCACCATCATGCTAAAAATGAATTAAATGAGAAATTTTATGAATTAACAGATTTGGATTTCAGTCTTTGGCCACTAGATAGCTGTGGAAGCATCAGAATAAAGCTGGACATTCACTACCTTAGCTTTTTTTTTTTTTTTCTTTTTCTGATTTTTTTTTTTTTTTTTAAATAATTAATCAGTATTTTTATTATAGTTTTGTGGGGTACAGTTAAGGGTTAGGTGTACAATTACGTTTCATTCAGACACCCTGTTGATAAGAGGTGTTTTCCCAGCCCCAGACAGATATTTGCTACTGTTAATCCCATCTCCCTCCCCCCCATAGTTTCCTAGCACCGTCAGTCATTTTCTTATAGTATTACATTGGATGTTCAAGGTCCATTATATGAGTGAGAACATGTGATATTCTGATCTTTGTTTCTGTGTGAGGTCACTCAGTATTATAGACTCTAGTTCCATCCAGGTTGCTGCGAAGTTCATGATTTTGTTCTTTTTTATGGCTGCGTAGTATTCCATCGTGTATATGTACCACATTTTTTTAATCCAGTCCTCTTTTGATGGGCAGCATGGTTGTTTCCAGGTTCTTGCTATTGTGAACAACGCTGCGATAAACATACGTGTGCAGGTATCTTTTTTATAGAGTGATTTGTGTTCTTCAGGGTATATTCCCAGTAGGGGGATTGCAGGGTCATATGGAAGTTCAATTTTTAGAGCTTTTAGGAATCGCCACACTGCTTTCCACAGAGGTTGCACTAGTTTACACTCCCACCAGCAGTGTAGAAGTGTTCCCTTTTCACCACACCCTCTCCAGCAGCTGTTATTTTTTGAGTTGTTGATAATTGCCATTCTGACTGGAGTTAGGTGGTATCCTTAGCTTTTTGAAAAAGATTTTTGAAAATAGAGCCCGCATGCTTCCCAGTTTACCACTGGTAGTGTTGTGATCTATGACAAGTTGTTAAAATTCTTTGCACCTCAGTATCCAGATAGCAAAATTGAGGGAAAAAAAACATTAGTACCTTTCTGTACTTCTATGAAAGAATTAAATGATTCATGTTTTAAAAAATGCACCTTTGTACTTGGTGCATGGTTAATCATAGAATAAATGTTAACTGCTAAGTTATGTTTTATTTTGTTTATTTATAGTCGAGGTCTCACTCTGACTCAGGCTGAAGCGCAGTGGCATAATCATGACTCACCGTAACTTCGAACTCCTGGCTGGGTTCTAGTAATCCTTCTGCCTCTACTTCTCAAGTAACTGGGACTACAGGCATGCGCCACCATACCCGGCTAATATTTTGAATTTTTTGTAGGAACAATCTCCCTGTGTTGCCTAGGCTGATCTTGAACTCTAGGCTCAAGCAATCCTCCCACCTCAGCCTCCCACAATGCTGGGATTATAAATGTAAGCCACCATGCCCAACTGTGTTTTATTTTTAACATTTTAATGATGAAGAATAATGGTGACTGAAACATTTTAGAAATAAGGGATATATAAATGAAAGGTGAAGTGAAGGTGACATTATTATTTTGTGCCAATCATTAATTTTCCAGTAACGATTTGATATCTGTTCAAAGACCACTAATTTAAACATCACTTTGCCTTCCAATTTGTTTAATCCAAAATTTTAAAACATTCACTTTCTCACACTGGTAGCTCAAGTTCATTTTTTAGAATTACATGTGGTAATTTATTTAAATCATTTGGTTATGCAGTACTTCAATATAATGGTAGAGTTATTTGTTTTTTGCAGGGGGGTACCAGGTGTATGCTGCAGGAACTTAACTCTTGTTGGTAGAGTTATTTCTAATGAACCTACTCAAAATTTGAACTACCTGTTCATTGTTGTCTTGTCATTTTGTTTCTGGCAGGAAATATTAGCTCACTAACTTTTTAAAAAATAAATGTTTTCACTTATGATTCCTCTTACAGGAATTGTGTGCAATGCCTTCACCCTCACAATTTGTCTCAAGCTCTACTTGATCAGTGTAAAACCTCATGTACATTCCTGGAACAGCATTATGTTGACCAAACATCAGGTAAACCACAGCTTAATAAGCAAAGCACGGAAGAGTATTTGTAAAGGATTATGTTCCTCAAAAAGAACCACAAATAGCCATGCTAAATAAAGAATTGAGGCTTCATTTTTCATTATGAAATATTGCTTTATTTTTTAAACAGTTTTATTTTAAAACTGTTTATTAAAGTGTACTATTTTATACGTTTGTGATTCCGTTTTTTAAATCTCCCAGAGATGCTACGCCATAACCATCATGCTTGCCATGATGAGGCTGAGTGGCTAGATTTCCTGTCTTACCTACACAGGTGAATTCCCAACTGCACCTCTGTGAAAGGGCATCCACGGGAATCAGCTAGTGATTTTTCTGTGACCCCAATACATGAGTTCCTTATGCAGACTCATTTTACTACGAGCTAAGGTCTGCGGGGCCATATTTTTCCTTCATAGTCCAAACTTGCTGCCAATTCTGAACTTCTTCATGTCTAATCAGTACTTTCATGTTTCAGGTGAAGCCAAAAAATTTTAAGTAAGCATAATCTCCTTTCGCAAAATATGTAACTTCAAAAGGGCCATTTCCTACTGGCAATTTCCATTCTGATATAAATACAGCTTAGGAGTAAATGATTATAAAGGTGACACAATGGAAAGGGTATGGAATTTTTAGACTTTGGCTTAAGACATGTCTCTTAACATTATTTGTTAAGAAATATCAACCCTTCTACAAAAAAAACTTATCCCGAGCCTCAGTTTCCCCATATGTAAAATGGAAATGAAACCAATATCAAAAATTATGCCATTAAATGAGCTACTGGACATGAAATAAGCATCTAAGGTAAAAGATAACATAAATGCGGCAAACACGTGAGAACTATGCTCAAAGACTTTTCACAGACTATTTTTAAACAAAAGTTAATTAGAACCTGAAAACCCAGAACCCAACTTTGCACAGGTTTGAGTTGCTGCTCTCTACTAGCATTAGAAATTAAGTTTGGGGCTCGGTAGAGTGGCTCATGCCTCTAATCTCAGCTTCTGGGGAGGCCAAGGTAGGAGGATTACTTGAGCTTGGGAGTTCAAGACCAGCCTGAGCAACATAGCAAAAAAAGAGGGAGAGGGAGGGAGAGGGAGGGAGAAGGAGGGGGGGAGGAGAAGAAGAAGAAAAGAGAAGGGAGAAGGAGGGAGGAAAGGAAGGATGGGAGGGAGGGAGAGAGGGAGGGAGGGGAGAAGAAAATAAATTAAGCTTGAAACTATGTCTTTGTTTAAAACATTCCTATTGCTAATATTATTTCGTCTCCTTTCCAACCTGTAAGAAAAACTCCAACTCTTAGACTACACAGAAGAATAAACTTTCTCTAGAGTTTTGTTTCTTTTTTCCTCATATCCACACTGATCGTAGCTCATCATGAGCTTGGCTCTGAAAAGAGCCCCATGTGCTGCCAGCTGGGGCTGCAGCAATCACTCCAAAAAGCCAAGTGCCTTTCTAATAAATAGGGCTCTTGCTATCAACATGTCATTTATTAAGTTAAGTAAACACTACTCTGACTTAAGTGTTGTTACAAAAAGTATTCCCTTAAAGCTGCTTAGGAAAAGCCCTGGTCTGACCCAAACTAAAAACAGCATGGGCCAGGGTAAATGTTTGACCACCCACACCATTTAAAAAGGCACGGAGATTTGTGCCCAGAAGATGCCCTCCATCCTAACTGATTAGAAATGTTTCTGTAATGCATCAGTAGCTAGAGGACTCCCCTCCCCTTCACAACTATTATACAAGTTGCGAGAAAGGGTACTGGCTAGGCACCTCTGTTATCCATCCTCTCAGTCACACCTAAAGGCTTTTCTTCCATCTCTCTGGCTAAGCTCCTATCAGGCAAGAAGCCAGAAAGTGGGATCAAGCCACGTGCCCCCCCTGACAATCTGCCTCAGCTGATTTAGTAGTCCTAAATCAGCCAAGGGACAGTCTGCCAGTACAAAAGTCATGTGTGTCATGAGCCTGACGGTCTCTGTGGAAACTTTAAAGAACACCACCTTTGAACAGAGCATTTTGGATTTTCATTTTGTGAGACCTGTAATGGAGGTTTGCACTGGCATTTGGTGTTTCCAGTCCAATAAGGGGTCTGCCCTTATTGGTACTCCTTTTAAGGAAACTTATCACTGACCAAAAGAAAATTGGGATCAGTGAAGTCCCTACTTGAGAGAAAGCCTTGCCCTTGTTACTGAGTTTTACTTTATTCAAGAGTACGCTTAGTCATTGTTGGGAATTTGGATGCAAATCACCATGTTTGGGTAATGCAGTATTCTAAGTCTTGGCAGATCATCTTGGCAGGTCACCTCGCTAGTGGCCTTCTCAGGGAGACCTTGGACATTTGGGTGAGGGCCCCAAAGTTGGAGAATGGGTGGAGGAACACATGCCTCTTAGCCAGGAAGTAATTTTATGAATCTGGGGCAGCTGGTGAGTTCTGTGGAATACTTGCAAATTTTGCAAGCATGTTCCTCTTAGATTGGGGTAACACCTCTGGTAATAATGGAGCCTGAAGACTATTCTAGTGAGAGCTTGCCAACAAGCTGGCACTAAAATAGAGCTCTAGCGTGCCCCTCCTCTTAACACAGCATTTCCTTTTCCAGCTAGATTATTTGTTCCAGGAAAAACACACAGTGAATTTTTAGAGGAAATAGAATAGATTTGATTAACTGACAAGTAAAAAGAAAATTAACGAAAAGTGAAGAAAGACATTTCAGTATTGTCCCAAATTAGATATTCTTGTTTCCTGGAGAAACCATGTGTAATAACAAGGAAAATTTATACTACAATTTCAGGAGAAGACTTTATTTATCTATTATAGTAGTATTGATTTTAGCTTCTGCGGTTGTTTACTTTATATTCCATTACTGATGGGCAACAAATATAGAACAAGCATAACAAGAGAAACATGTGCTAACGCCCAGAGCTGTTGAATAATTTTTTAAATCCTATTTTCCACTTAGTGATCAACAGTACACATGACAACAACTATCTCCTCTCTCTCTCTCCTCCCCCCCATAAAATTTTGTTTGGTTAAGGGACTTGACCATCTTCCAGTTACTACAATTAAATAATCAAACTGCATTGAAATAATATGATCGAATACCTTAATAATGGGTACTCTCCACAGGAGGCCTTGCTGAAAATGATAAATGTACAACAAAAACTAGAGGGTTTTTTTTGAGTCAACAGTAATTTTAGTTCCCTGTTTCAAAAACGTAGATTTGCAAAATATCTCTGGCCCTATTCATTGAGATGTGAACATCATTGACTTGAAAGAAGACTTCAATTTATTTATTCCAATGTTTTAATTCATCTATTTGTTTGCTTCATTACAGAATGTTTCTCCAGCCCAAGTTATTTGAGAATATTTTTCATCATATTTATAGTTACATTCTTGATCGGGTTGCTTAAAGTCCTTATCATTAGACAGGTGATATTGCAATGGAATAGTAATAAAATTAAGTCCTCATCAGATTACAGAGTGTCAACCTCCAAAAAGGTCAGTGAATTGAAAAAAAAAAAGAATTACTATCAGTATGGTATTATCTAGTAATAATATTTAGGCCCTTAATTAATAATACTGTCTTTATTCTATCAAGGACAAGTTGATTCTGCAAAGTGTTTGCCCAAGAGCAGTAACCTACCGGCGTGAGAAACCTGAAGAAATCAAAATGGATATCAGTAAATTAAATGCTCATGAAACATTCAGGTGCAACTTCTAAAAAAGATTTTAAAACACTTTATGGGAAACTGGATTTTAAATAACTGCTCCTAAAAATTATAATTTTAAAAGTCACAAGAGGAGACAAGTGACTCAAGATCATGCCAGTTGCTGGTTGTACATGCAATCAAAGACTGACACGCATCCTCATCATCATGTGACTCTCATAGCTGCTGATGTTTTCAGAGAAAAATGTGTCTTACTACTGTTTGAGACTAGTGTCATTGTAGCACTTTACTGTAATATATAACTTATTTAGATCAGCATAGAATGTAGTTCATCTGAAGAGCACTGATTACACTTTACAGGTACCTGCCATTCCTTTGCTTCCCAGAGAGAGACATGCTGTGAGACAGTTTAGAATTGTGTCACTACAAGGGTACAGTAATCCCTATACCAAATGTGTGGATGAAAAAACAATCATTCGGCAGTTAATGCTCATGCTGCCAAACACTCCAACAATTGGCAGTGAAGAAACAAGAAAAGCTAGATGGATAAATGGTTTTTCAATTGGTCGAGAGGTGAACAGACAGAACCTTAATCTTAAGGGATACTGCTTTTGAAACTGTATAGTTTTGTGCATGTATGTTTCTTCTTTTTACAAGATGAATACTAATTCCAGCATTCTCTCCTCTTTTCCTTTATGTTTTGTTTTTCTTCCTTACAGGATAAGTTTATATATGTCACAGATGACTGGATTAAATAAGTGCTAAGTTACTACTGCCATGAAAACCTGATAATATAATGTCACTTTATTAGAATACTGGTTTTAAAGCTGAATGTTAATAAGGGACACTGTAAAGTATCATCAAAACCCGAATAGCTTTGTTGTTTGCAGGTGTGGAGTTTTGTATATTCTTGCCTGGTCAACTGGAAGGATTGTTTGACCATTCCATTTGTCTAATCATCAGTTCACAAGATATTTAGAAACTCTGCCTCAAGCAAAGTAGCACAGTTTTGAATGAGTTTTCTTAGATTTTTTTTACTCTAAGTAGGTATCAGCAGTTTTCAAATAAAGAGCTGTATTATTTCTGCCCTTCAGTGCAGTCTAGGGACATGCTTTCCTGGAACCACCTCAACCCTACTCACCATAGTTCATGAAAATATAAAATTGGAGGAAGATTGGTGATATCTTAGAAATAAGCTAATTCATCCATTTAATGAGTCAGGGAACTGAGGTTCAAAAAGTTTGAATGATTTCTCAAGAAACACATAAGTGGTAAAATGACAACATTACAAAGAGCTTCTCTCTTCTTGTTGCCAGGCCAGTGTTCATTGCACAATATCATGCTACCTCTTGAATCTTAAAAATATTCAATAGGTAAATATTTGTAAGTGTGATTTACTGAAGTCTCGATTATATGGGCATGAGAAGATTTCAAAGGAAAGTAGGAAAGAGTAATTCAAATTGAACTGTCCATAGTCGGCTTCTAGTCTTTCCTGCTCATCAGCTTCTAAGAGACTGCAGCATGGATGACTACATGGGAATTTCTTCCCATCACAGCCTATGTGAACAGCGCCCTCTGGAGTTGTACAATGCTCAACCCAGGACCCGTATACTTCCCCAATGGAAACTTCTTTCACTTACCATATCTCTAGGGATTTAATCTGATCTTATTGGCTAACAGTCTAACAATCCTGTGTATGGTACACAATTTTGCCCATGACAACAAAGGGATGTATTTAAAATATCATCTTTTAATTAACTTTCAAGATTTGTTGTCTTGCAACACTTGAGATAAAGTAGTAGATATTTACATATTGATGAAGACGCTCCTCCATCCCATATTTTACCCTAAAGAGAACTGAAAAACCTATAATAAGTAGTTCTGGAGCCAATAAACACAGCTGCTCCGTCAGATGTCCTTACAGCCAAGCAATTATGATGCTAACTTGAACTGCATTTCCTTCCTCAAATGAGAGATTGACATAATTCAGTGCTATGACTCACTTGTGTAAAAAACTTTTGATCACTAAGAATGTTGTAAACATGGTATTGTGTAGCTTATTACACATAGCATCCTTTTAAAAAATGAATGTCTGACAACACCCAAAAGGAAAAAGTGAAAGATATTTATTAATTAACATGATGATAACATTTTAAATAAGCATTACATGTTTATAATAATAAAATAATTTCCATATGGATGAATTATCCAAAATAGCATAATAAAATGAAATCCTTAAAAATCAAGGGTTTATATATTTTACACTGCCACTAGTTTGCACTAACTTTGTAGTGGACCAAGGCTGTTATCATAGGAAAGAACAAACTTCCTTATAGGCAGTTCTGTGCTAGATGATAATTCTGGTAATGCTTGTCAGTTTTGTGCTTGCTTTTTTTTTTTTTAAGTAAAGAGCTAACTTTTAAACATTTTAGGGCTTATATTTTACTTGAATAATTATTATTTTCCTGTGTAGTGATCTGTGAGATGAGAATTAGTATTTGACTAGCTAGAATTAACTAAAAGGTAAGGAAAAACAGGGTATTCTTAGATTAAATAATTTATATAAGCGGAGCCTATTTTCAACTAATATGACCATGAGATCCTTTTGAGACTCATTGTTGTTAAACACAATTCATGAAATTTTAAATTGTTAACAGATTTAAGAACTTGAACAAAACTTTTGGTACTGCAGCATTTTTTGTGCCCTAAAGTATGTAATAACTTAGAAATGTGCCATACATACACTACAACATGACTATATACATTTTATTTCTGTGGGAACACCACGCTACAGTGCACATGTATTTGTAAACATTTAATATACTTTTGAAAATGTGCTAATATTTATTAAGCCTTAGACATTCTCTGGAAGACTTAAACATTCACTTGAAATATGGTTATTTCCTAAATGTTCAGGTTACTTTTGGTTTATAAAAATCATCAAAAAATCTAAGGTTAAACACAATAAGAGGGGGGACCCCAAAAAAACCAGAATTATCTTTTTGAAGGGTGGGCCCCTTGTAATACACTCAGAATTTGTTCCTCTGGATCAAATGGTCAACCAAAGTTTTTATCTGGAAGTTTTGAGACGGTTGTATCATGATTTGTGGAAGAAACATTGAGTTGTGGCAAACAGGTGACTGGTTCTTCCACCATGACAATGCACCTGTCCACACCACACTGAGTGTTCAGCAGTTTCTAACCAAAAACTGCACAACCACCGGTACCTCACCCTCCCCATTTTCCTGATCTCACCCTGAGTGACCTTTATTGTTTTCCTGATTGAAAAAAAGTCCTCAAAGGAAAACATTTTGCTCACGTGGAAGTGACAAAACAAAAAAACGGCATCAAAATGGGCAAGTTCAGAAACTATTTTGAGCAGTAGAAGAAGTGTCTCATAGGTGTATTGCATCACATGGAAAGCACTTTGAAAATGACTGAAGTTTAAACATGTAAGAATAAATATGCAATTTTTTATAAATAAATTCTGGGCTTTTTGGAGGGGACTCCCCTCATAGATATCACTGGAGGTACATTTTTCAAAACTCAAAATGGAAATTAGTGAATGCACTAGATACGCTTCATAGAATAAGCATAAAATATATTTTTAATATTTACTTAATATCCATTGAAGATATTATTATATGAGACCATAAGCATTCATGAGGCACTGAAATATATTATGACAGACTATGAAGAGTTTTCTCTATAGAATGATATTTCTCCTGGAACCTGATACAGTAGATTAGATTCAAAGATTTTCCTTTCCTTTTCTTATTCTGTTTTTTTCTACTCACTTTTCCCAAGCTTGCCCTAAAGCTTCAAGTTTAATAAGCGTAATTGTGGCAAATAACTGAATTTAATGGTATAATGAAGTTCTTCATTTCCAAACATCTTTGACTGATTTTAAAGATCATTTAAATTTATCCTTTAAACAAAGACAGACCCATTAGAAACTAAGAATTTTAAATTTCCACACGTGTGTAAGCTTCTTTCCGTTTTGGAGGGTTTTAAATATATATTTATTTTCATAAAAATATGATGTGAAAGACAGTTACTTGGGAGTGCAATCCTGTGCATATTGTATTGTTTTGTTTACTCTTAATGTTTAATTTAGAACTATTCTTATTTATATGGATTTTAAGAATTCCATTTCATGCAGTGCAAACAAATATTTTCAAAAAATACAGAACTGGTATTCTTTCAGATAATTTTCCTTTTTTATAATTCCAGTATAGCAAATTTATGTTAACTGATTATACATATTCATATTTATATTTCATTGATTCTAAGACACCACTTTTTCAACTTAACATCTCTGAAATTGTGATATATCTTGCAACTGTTGGCATCTTAGGTGCAGTGTATAAAATTATGTTTGAAAACATGTTATACTAATTCAGATTTAAGTTAATATTCACAGGTATAGGGGAATCTTTCTTTTATAAACATTTGAGAACCTATTTATGATAACATAGAAGCCAATTTTCAAGACAACTGAACCACATACAACTGGGTATGCAGCCCAACTCTGATTTTTAGCTCAGATCCCGCATATGTTTAGGTTACAAAGGCTCTCTCAGGCTCCTTTATGCTAGTGCATACGATTTCAACAAACTCTAACTTAACCCACAAGAATGGGTGTGTTTCTCAAAGTTCCGTTAACAAATTTTTCTTTCTATCCCATTCTATGAGATCCTTTCACATGATCATCTCACTTTTAAACAGAATTAACTGGAAAAATATTACATGAAATCTTCGTATGTAGATTTTTTTTGTAGGCTCCTATACATCTTATGTCAGTGGCAGGCAAAAGTTATGATAAACCAACCAGTGCTGTAGAAAACAACTTTCTTCTCAAGTCCTCCTGCTTTTTATTCTTCTTTATCATGTCTTTTTTAAAACTGTTTTCTCTTATCTCTGATCAGTTTAACTTCAAGCTCAAGTAATGACTGTTATAAAACTGTTTATGTAACTAATTTGAATTATATAAAACAATTGTTCAGCTACCTGGGCAGCTGTTAATGTAATACCTGGGAGTAATAACACTACTCTTTTATCTACCTGGAATATTTTTCTGCATAAAATTTATAAATGTAAGCTAACTCTATTAATCGAGTTTCTAGCCTCTACAACCTACTTCAGTTAAAATTTTCTGACACAGCTATATATATATATATATATATTTTCTTTTTAAACCACTGCAGTTGTAAAGGATGGAAAAATGTGGGATCTGTGTAAAGAAATTTTACCAACTTTACACTGTCCCACAGATAAATGTGACTTTAAGAAGAATTTTACACAATGACAAGTATGGTACATAGATTTTATTAAGAATATTAAGTGTAAAATATTTTAATTCTAAATTATAAGATAATATAAATTTGCACATATTAATATAGAAATTCATTTTGCATATATTTAACATAGCTTTAATTTTACATGTATTAGTTACTTCATTATTGTTTTTTAAACCTCTGCAGAAAAAAATTAGAAATGTTTTTAAGTTATCAGTAAGATAATCTTATTTTGTTTCACGTAACATGTACTGCCTTTGTAAAAAGAAATTTAATATAGAATATATTTTTAAATTAAAGTATTTGAATACAAAATAACTCTAGAAAGAAACAAATTCTCACTGAACATATTTCATATCATTTCTGGCTTTGAATTATCCATAAAGTTAAATTGCCTTAAATGATACAGAAGTTTGGAAAGTATTTTACATGATGTACTATGAACCTGTTTATATAACTGATTGACTACTAACTTCTGTTTCATGTATTTATTAAAGAACTGACACTGTAGTTTGT